CATGCTTAAGTAGGCTATACTAAACTATCAATTACCATATCAGCTATCTAAAATCAGGGTACGCGACGCACCAGGTCATGTTGCGCGACCATACCCCATACCATTTCCCCGCTAACAATATAAAGCTCTATTGAATAATATTGAGTATTGCTAGTAGGAAATTGCCAGGAGCCAGACAGATATTAATGAGTTTAACTTTGTACTCATTGATAATTAAATAATTTTTGTAGAATTGAATATGATAGTATTGATAAAAACCAATTTCCTGAAGTGTTGGTTAAAATAAGAAATTGTTATTAATATTAATTGTTTGGAAAATATATTCACTATTGTATAATGTATTGGTAATTTAATTGATTGTATTCAATAGTCATATTTGATAGCATTTTATGAATTGAATGATACTTACAATGTTGATACTATTGAGCTTGTAAATATTGTTCAGTAAAAGCTATAAAATAGTGTACCAGTTAAATATATTAGACATTTGGATAAATTATTACTTGAGTTAATTGTAAAATGTTTTCTTTAAGATTGTTTTTTTTCGAACAAATAATTGTTTCTTGTAAATATTGACTATTGTGTTCAGACTATATACAAATCAGAATATTGCCTTTGGATTTAGAATTGAACTATATGATCCTATAAGGTTTTTGTTAATTGCAAAGATTTTAAATTAATTTGATTTCGAGTAGAGATAAATTATAACTATATGTGAGGCAAGTTGGTGTTATATAAGTTCATTAAGTGCTGTTAACTTTAAATAATTAATTGGTAAATTTTAAATTAAGAGTATTTGTTGTTAATTATTGTTTTCTTGGACTGGATTGAAGCTTAATAAAAAGAAAGTTAATTAATTCTTTGTATTGTCATAATTAAACAGATATTCTATTGGACATATATAAATTTTGAAATCCTTGACTGTTCTTGCTATATAGAGAATTTAATTATCTTAATTAAATTTTTCTGGATTGTATATAAAGCAGAACCATATTGTCTTCTTAATCTGAATTGATAAAATGTCTTGTATTATATATTTGCTAATAGATGTAATAGAAAATTTGGATATAAGATTTTTTATTAATGCAGTCTTTTGCTTTTCTTCTAACACTAATAGGTTGAGGCTATTGCAATTGGCTAGTATTGTATTGAAGCATTTAGAGGTTATTTTATAAGCTAATTTGATAAACTTATTAATTTTGATTTAGAGTTGATTAAGGATTGTTTTGTTAAGAAATTATGAGAGTAAAAAGTATTTAAGTTTTTTCATAATTATCCAGTTACTGATCTATTGTTTGATTTCTTCTTTTTAATTGTACTGTATTTGAATAACTTATTAACATTTTAAGTTGACATCTGGATGAATGCTTTTCAATTTGTCTTGAAAAATTTTCTAGGAGAAATTGATATATAAGTAGGGCTCCCAATGATCTCACTTCAATACTATTTTGATATCAGTTTGATACTTAAATTTACTATAAAATTATATAAGTAGATCACAACTTATATATTAAATTTACTATAAATCGGTACTATTTTGATACTAGTTTAATACCAGTTTGGTACTTTTCAGAACCCTATGTATAAGATATTTTATGCTTTTATAAGATTTGAAAACTTTGATTTGAAAATTATTGAATTTGATTATATCTTGAGTGCCATGTTTGATTTTGATATTGTTAATAATTTTGATTTTATCTTTATTGTATATAATGTTATTAATTATGAAGAATTGATTAGTTATTATTAGAAGGACTTCTATTTTTTATTTGGATTCAATAATAAGTGCCAAGTTATTCATATAGGCTATAATGTTGAGGACAGTTGTGGGTTTGCATTTTTATTTTTTAAAAAAAACAATAAATAATAATAATAATTAACAATAATTTAGTTTAAAAATATTTTTATTTTTACAATTGACATATTGGTTTAAATAAGCATTAGTTATTTAATGTTATTAATATAATTTACTTATTTGATGCAAATTGGTATTGATAAGAAATTGCGGTAAACTAGAATTAATTTATATTACATATAAAGATCTGTAATATAATAATTATAAATTTTTATTAAATAAAAGTCTTGTATTTAATGTCTATTTGTAATTTAAAAATTTTTTTACTTGTTTATATAATATATTTAAATATATTAAAAAAATAAATATTAAAATTACTATATATTGCAAATAATAATAATATATTATAATTTAATATATTTAATATTTATTTATAATTAAATTTTTATATTAATAATATTACTATATATTTTTTAAAAAAACTTTTTTTCTAATTTTATTTTTCAGAATGATTTTTTTTATCTATTTTTATAATAGAAAAACAAAACTTTTTATATTGATCTATATTGTTAATAAGAAAATTATATAGGGTTTGATTATAGTATATGATTTAAGATTTCATATATTCTAGAAATTAGAAATAATTAGTGAAGCTATATAAATAAGAATACAATAATTAAAACTTAAAAATAACTTTCTATGACTTATTTAAAAAACTAATTTATTGATAATTTAATTTTCGTTAATAATTTTTTTATTATTTCAATATAAATAGAAAAGAGAGCAAACATAGGTAGCAATAGAAAATTATAAGAAAAACCATGTATTAATAATAAAAATTACTTTTTAAATTAAAATCTTTCTAATTAGGAATGTATAATAGATATTGTCAAAAGAAGTAAAACTAATTAACTTACTTGATCCAATACTTGTTATAAAAAGAATGTCAAGATTATGAAAGGAAAAGGTGGTGAGACTTGTCAAAGAAAACAGACAATAAAAAGAAAAAAAAAGATTAGCAAGAAACTCAGCTAAACAAAAATCACACATTTCAAGTAGAGAAGCCAAAAACTTGCTTAATATTATATAAGACTTGCTTTGAAGAAGCAATATATTTATTAAAAAAGATATCAACAATATATTAGATATTTATTATAAGCAAATTAAAATCGGTTTATTGTTAATATATATTGTTACAAGAAAATAGCAATTAACAATATGACTTAAAATTGAGAAGTAACAATCATGTATTACAGAGATTGTCAAAATAGATAATTAATCCTTAATCCTATTATTTTATTTATTTTATTTTTTTATTTTTTGCCATCTTAAAAGTATAAAAACAATGTTCTAATAAAATTTTGTTTATTGGATAAGATTGTCATACTTATTGCACTGTTCTTAACCAATAAACCCCTTCAAATCATGCAAACTTGCCAAATATATACCACCTTCTTTCTGCCTCTTGCACCCCTGTTATACCCGAAACCCCTGTACAAGTGTCATGAAGTCACTGTTTATAATATATTATATATTAATTAAGTCATTGTAATTAATATAGTAAAATTTTATTTTGACTATTAATAACGATCTTATTAATACTTATTCTTCAAATGATAAAACATGAAAACACGATATATTTTTTAAACATATGTAAAGTAGATTTAAAGGTTTAATATCGTGGTTTTTTTTAAAACAAACAATTCATCGAAGTATATTATTAAAAAAAATTGAAATATGTTTTATCAAAAAACAATAGCAATATACAGTATATATACATACAGTATACAGTATACATAACATACGTACTGTATATTCAGTAGATAATGGATACCATAAGGTTTTTTTTGAAAAATCTTGAGATTATCGTTACAAGATTTGTTTATTGATTATGCGAATAGCGAATAATTTAAAAAACATTGTTAAAGAACTTAACTGGGGATACAGTAAAATGATTTGATTATCCATACAAAATAATTTATTAATCACTCGATCAGTATATCTTACATCTGTCAGATGTGGCAATGATGGAACGACCTTCCCTTAAAAATGAGAGCTAAAATATGAATACATGTAATGTTTCGGGGTTTGGATAGCAACAATTATATCAGTAGTCTTATAAAAGATCGTAATAGTGACGAGGATGCTTTACCATCACAAAAATTTATCGTTATAAACGTATCGGTATTCTGTAATAAAAATGTGGAGCAAAGCTAGTATGTTGTATATGCACTATTCATTTTCCTGTCATCAGGGATAATGTTTTGAATCATTCGACTCTTACAAATATTAGTCGGTATTGATTTGGGAACCACGAATTCGTGTGCAGGAATATGGAAAAACGGTAAAGTTGAGATTATTCCTAACGACCATGGTAATCGCACTACACCTTCGTACGTTGCCTTTTCTCGCGCGGGACGAGCAATTGGTGAAAATGCCCGAAATCAAATATTTATGAATCCTTCCAACACTATCTATAATATTAAACGTTTGATTGGTCGTCAATTTATGGATCCAGAAGTACAGTCTGATGTGAAGGTGAATATATATTTTTTCAAAATAAAATGGTTAAACACCCTTTTCTCTTTAAATAACGCATTCATTAAATAGTATTGGCCTTTCCAAGTCATTAATAAGAACGGAAGACCTTATATCCAAGTTGAATACAGGGGTAAAATCAAACAACTGTCTCCTGTAGAGATCTTGTCAATGTTATTATGTAAGATAAAGGAGTCGGCGGAAATTTTTCTTGAAGAGTCAGTTAGGAATGTTGTGATTGCCGGAGGCCCTTATTTTAATTATTCTCAACGTCAAGCCATAAAAGAAGCGGCCATGATCGCTAGATTAAATGTTCATCAAATATTTACTGGATCAGAAGCTGCTGCCGTGGCATATAACTTTTATAATAGAGTTTCAAAGGAACGCAACATTCTTGTTTTTGATTTTGGCGGTGGCACTCTTGATATATCCATTCTAGCTGTTGAGGAAGGATTATTAGAAGTAAAAGCAACTGCCAGCAATGCTCATTTAGGTGGTGAAGATTTTGACAAACGCATTGTAAATCATTTCGTTTTTGAATTTAAACGAAAATTCAAAAAGGATCTCACCACAGATAAACGTGCCCTGTGCCGCCTTCGGACTGCATGTGAACGTGCAAAATGTGCACTGTCGTCACATACACAAGCTTTCATCGAGATTGACTACCTTTTTGAAGAGATTGACTTCTATACTTCATTAACTAGAGATAAATTTGTAGAAATAAATATGGCTTTGTTTCGACGCATCATAAAACCTGTTGAGAGAGCGCTCCGTGATGCAAAGATCGATAAATCACATATTCACGAAGTAGTCTTGGTTGGTGGTTCTACACACATTCCAGAGGTCCAGAAAATAATTTCCAAATTTTTTAATGGGAAAGAATTAGATAAGTCAATAAATCCCGATGAAGCCATCGCCTACGGGGCAGCTCTGTATGCAGCTTCTTTATCTGGAGATTGTTCAGAACAATTACAGGACACGCTATTAATTAGGGTTCTCCCTCGATCGCTTTGCGTTGAAATAGGTGACGGAGTCATGAAATCAATAATAAAACGCAATTCTTCAATACCTAAGAGAAAGTACAAAATTTTATCAACGGATTCAGACAATGCATCTTATTTAGTTCTCAAAGTATACGAGGGTGAACGTACACGAACCAAGGATAATGGATTAATTTACGAGTTCCAACTAACCGGTATTCCATGTGCACCTCGTGGAGTATCTTGGATTGAAGTTTGTTACGATGTCGACTCTCGAGGCAACCTTTATGTATGTGTTACTGTGTTGGTAAAGTTACCCGGCAGACAGTAATATGTATATAAATATATAACATTGTTTGTTAATTACACCAGGTATCGGCTGTTGATAAGACCCATGGACGGGCTAACAAGATTACCATCGTCGAGGATGATAGATATGATAGATTATTGAAGGAAGAATTCGAACAAATGCGTATGTCACCTAATCTATCGTTTCGTTACTTTAAGTGTTAGATATTAATTCTTATATTAATTCTTAAATATATTGATAGTCTTGAATGCCGAGGAATATAATGCAGAAGACAAAAAGATTCCCGAAAAAGAACGAGCCCGTAATAGGTTCGAAAGATATTTGGATAATTTACGAGAAACTCTTCAGGTAGGATTTTTTAAATAAATTCTCGGTAGAATTTTAATCAATCATGATGATAACACAATTTTTATTATATTGTCGTATTCTCTTTATTTATTTTTTAAAAAAGGATGCGGTCACTTGGTTTAATGACAATCAAGATGCTGAAAGCGAGGAATACGAATGTAAACGTGAAGATACTATTAAAAAAATATCATGTGAAGCTGAAGAATTCGATGATTAGATCATCAAGATTGTTAAGTTGTCAAAATGCGCAAAAATGATTACATTGTTAAAAAAGTTCATTTCCGAGAAGCAAAATTTTATGAATCAATTCGAAATGGCACTTCATCAACTAAGTTTATCCAGTCGATAACGCGTTATTAAGTAAATAATCATGACATTTATACATAGGAAAGGTTAAAGTCCGTTCGCGGTGAACAGCATTAATTGGATTTCAGATTTCCAAAAGTTTGGTCTATCTTTTCCTTGAGTTCTGGGCTAATGTTGTCAAAAGTTTTAGGTAGAGCCGGCCATTCTTTGGCAACTCTTTTTCGAATGGTATCAAAGTCCTCCCACTCAAAAACCTTACCATGATCGTAAACAACGCGTAAAAGGTTATCAGGATCATTTTCGGAGCAACTTTCTTTAGGGTATACAATCGGAACCTACGTGAGATAAATGAGATTTTGATTATTCAATTGTAAAAGATAATGCAATATACAGTATTTTAAATGAGAGGCTACCCCTTGTTCATTTTTCTTTACAACCAATTCCCCAATAAGTTCAACATTTTCCAACTTCATTTTCTTATTTTTAGTACCATCTCTATATGAAATTTGCTGCATTAATTATGATTTGATTGTGTGAAATAAAAACGATCAGCAATTAGACAAGCATACTGTTTTCTTTCATAATAAGTCGTATGGTTGAGCTTAGTGGCAAAGCTCATGGTGTCGCTATTTATTTTTTGCAACAATCCGCTACCCATACCGAATGAAATGTTTTGTATAGAATATCCGGCTTCTTTAGCAGCCTTTATTATGGCTTTCAAATTACGAATGTTCACTCCATCACCCTGAATGACACTACATCCACGAATGATTTTATACCCTTTTTTGTTCACATCGATTCCAAACACTTTTTCAGCAGCCCTGAAATTACCAGCCAGACATTAAAAATATAATGTAATAGAAGATATCACAAGTCTAGTTACTGTACCTTAGGGCCATCATAATAACTTCCACTGGATCACCGCTGTCTGGTCGGAGAATCATGAATCCTCCCTTTTCCAATTTCTGAGAAGCGATTGACGGTAGTATGTTTTCCAATGCATTTACATAATCAAAAGTATCCATCAGACAGGAATATATTCCTGTTCCAAAGCGGTCTATCATTTTTAAGAGTGCATCCTGTGATATTATTTTTGTTATTATATTAAATCTTTAATATTCAAATTCGCTGAATTTAATTCTCGCTATGATATTAATTTCTAATTACTTGTTCTGACTTGTGTGAGGTCATAATTGAGTGTTCGGTAGATGGAATAGCCGACGCCACGGGATTTCCATTGTTGAGCTTAAATTGAACATAATAAGCAGCGCTCATTGTAGATGTTCCTATGAAATTTAACTACAAAACAATAAAAATTTGCAAACACACAATCGACATAATACAGTAACAGGTTATTTTTTTCTTCCATATAAAATCAGCACAAGTCATTATGTGAAAACAAATCAAATATACACCAAATGTGCAGATCCGCCAATAATGGATTGTTCGAGACATGTGCATCCACGAAACCCGAAATCGCGTAATCGACTTATGGAATAGAAAGTTTCCATGCTTCTGTTAATGATACACCATAAAAATAAAAAGAATGGTGCCCATAATAGTTACATTTCCAAAGACCAATGGTCGTCTTCATCTACAGTGTCCTCGTATGCCGCTTCAATTATATCACGCGCACGACGTGAAAGCGTTGCAACTGTGGTCGAATACTAATTGGGATGTTGAAAACAAATTGTTATCTATTCTATTACAGTATCATAAATTATATTAATACTGTAGATAATATGATCAATCTACCCATGTCATTGAAATCAAAATCTCTAAAAATGTGGCTAACGGCGCATATTCCCCCTCAGCTGTGATCTGAAAGACCGGAGTTTTGGCATGACAGGAGGTTCCTTCCGGAAGTGCCTCAATCTTCACTGGGAAATAGCCATCGTTTTCTTCAATAAACTAGTTATAGTGATGTTTTTTAAATGCGGTAAATGTCCGTGATTTGCTTTAATCATGCCTGGTCATTGTTTAAATAATTAAAAAAACTTACTTTGATGAATAGTTTTTTGGGAAATGAAAAACCTGTATTATTGTTCTGAATGAAATTCTCTGCCATTTCAACATCTTCGAGTGTCCATTTTACGGCCACGTAATTTTCAATTCTATTTGCATTATTGATAAATAAACATAAATGAGACAATCCTTAAAGCACAAAAATTGACATACTGTAAATTAATTACTGTACTGTACATGTATCGAAACCCGTAAAATAAAAGACGTGTATCTTCTTTGTCATCTTCATATCCGGACCTAAACTCTCCATACACGACGCACTAATGTTTTTACGGTAGTGAAGTGGGTTAGATTTCTACATAACACAAATCTCGCAAACGTAATTGCACCAAAATTTGCCTTGCTAGATCCGGGATGCAAGAATTCACTGGGCCTGTAGGAATTGAATAATGCCAAAAATGGGATACCAAGGAAACCAGACATTTGATCAAAACTTTAAATAAAAATCGTTGACTTTTATAAAGAGCTACTGTTTCTGTGTTTAAGTAATACAGTACGTATCGAAAGCAAGCATTTATTATTTTATCAATTATAGAACTGATCGGAATGTAGCACTGATTACTGTGCAGAACGCATTGTAATCGCTGCATTGTGACATCTACTTGGCGGAGCTTCTATAATCGGCTATTTTAAATGGAAGGTTAGGATAAATACATCGTCAGGATTCCGAGATTTTCTTTGTTTCTTAAATGTCAAAATCTTGATATGCAATATACCATACGTCAATGATTTATCAAATGCAAACTTACTGTATTTGAATTACTGTACTTATCTAAGGCTAAGCTTACTGTTAATAAAACGAGATCCCTAAATAAACAAAGAAAGTTAATAACTCTTGCACGAGTTCTGCTTCGGGCTAATAAAATAATAAAACTATACAGTATATGCTGTTTATATTTATATTTATTTTACAAATAATTTTTTTATTATAAATAATTACAGTACGAATATAGTTAACAAAGATTTGAAATTTTAATTCTCATGATAAAAGATCTCCATTACTGTACAGTATTTGGAATTCAGTTACTAAAATATAGATTTATGCACGACACCAATAAATTGACATAAAAACCAATATTAAAAAACATACTGTATATACGTTTATTATGTTCAATATTTAAAATATGTGCATGCATTAAATACTGGATAAAAATTTTTTTTGATCAATAAAATAATTTTTGTAATGAATACTCGGGTTTTTATCTATTTGTTTATAAATACTTGAATAAATATGGTAAATTCCTAAAATAATTGTGATATTTAAATTAATTAAATTAAAAAAAATCCAAATCGAATTTAACAAATATCAATTTCTGGTTAACCAAATTGAATTATATCTTAAAAAATATGTTCAATGCCATTTTAAAAATATTATAAAATAATAATTGTATTGAAGTTTTTACAGGTTACAATAAATGGCCATTATCTCAAAGCCATATTAAAAAAATATATTTTCATTCTAAAATGATTAATGTTTCTTAAATTCTATGATTTTTTTAATTTGATAAATTTTTTATTATCATTAAATAGTGTTAATTTTTTTAAAAAAAATTTTTTAAATTATTAATAAAAAAAAACTTGTTATATAATTATTAAAATACTAATTTAAAAAAATATTTAATCAAATTATATTATATTATATAATTATAAACAAATAAAATGTTTTTATTGTTTTAATCAAAAAAAAAATTCTAATTAATATTTTCTTTTTATTTTATTACTTATATATGTTCTAAATATATTATTGTTATATTTTTATTTACAATCTGTCACAATTAGCTTAACTTAAAATTTAGTCAAATTTTATTAAAAAACATAAATTTTATATTAAAAATAGATTTTTAAAGGTTTTAAAAATTTCTTAAAAATATTTTTATATAATAAAAAAATAATCCAATTTTAATAAAATTAATTAAATATAATAATGGGTCTTTTATAATTTTTTTATAAGCTTAAAATTTTTATATTTGATTTTTTAAAAAATTTTTTTATAGTAATTTTAATTTCTATTCATATTTTATATTATAAGAGGGACTGAAAAATTAGATAGATTCAACATATGTTATCCTTACCCAATTGGAATTTAATTGGGGCCTGAGGGATTTTTGGGATTTTTGGAATTTCTTAACATGTATATAAAGAGAGAAATGTACTAGAGAAAAAGCAACAATAAAATATCATCCTTTTACTATAAAACTCAGACTATTATCTAACACTT